GCGTCTGACTCACCTTTCACCTCCTCACACACCAGGTGTCCGTTTGACTGTTTGCTGCTTTGAATGATTGCTGTGCTTCGCTGCTCCTGGATCAGTTTAAAGTGAAACTCAGAGAAGCTCCTCTGCAGTCTGACGGTCCAATTTTTCTCAGCTATGATGTTCCTGAGTCCTCTGTTGATGACGCTGCTGCTCCAGCTGCAAGGTGAAGAACGACGAGCTTCTGATTTCACTTGTTCTCAGATGAAAGACAGTCACATGTTTTCTACCTTTTCCATCCTGCAGGATCAGATGGTAATCCCTCTGTGACTCAGTCTCCAGCAGTGAAGCCAGCGGCGTTGGGAGACGGTCTCTATGAGCTGCTCAGCCAGTGAAGGATTGATGATGATCTGAGTTGGTACCTGCAGAAACCAGGACAGCCTCCCAAACTGTTATTTTATCAAATCAGCAGCCGTCAATCTGATACTCCCAGTCATTTCAGCAGCAGTGGATCAGAGCCTCAGTTCACTCTGACTATCAGTGGAGTTCAGGCTGGAGATGCTGGAGATTATTACTGTATGGGTGTGTATTTAGTATATGGCGTCACAGTGTTCACACAGTGATTTAGAGTCGTACAAAAACCTCCTCCAGTCTGACTGAAGGCTGCAGGTGCAGAAAAATGATGAGTTCTGGTTCAGTGAACACATCACAGAAGTTACCAAGTAAAACCATCAAATATCTAAGGTTGAAATCACCAACTATAGATTATTTTATAATCACAGATGTTTAAATTAGTTTTGCAAATATGGATTCTCAATAAGTTTTCTGATGTTTTGCCTCACAAACACTAAAGAGTCTTTAGTTTTTATCTCAAGTTTTTACATGTGCAGGTTTCTAAAACATGTTATAAACTTTAAAGAAATGAAGAAGAGATGACATTTGATAAGAACATGAACGTTGAAACACAACAATAAATACAAAGACAGTGATTCACATAAATCTGCAGGTTTATTGAAACAATCCATTTCCTCAAAATCACACAAGAGAACATAAGAAAGACGAATGAAAGGTGAAAAGCAATGATAGTGAATAAAACACGACAACATGATGGTTTCCAGCCATGAAGCTGCAGCTCTACTCTGAGCAGCGGTCAGGCTCCAGGGTTTCAGTGACAGGACTCTGTCCACTCTGATTGGCCTCACAGGTCACTGAGCCCGCCTTCCTCCACTGGTCTGCAGGGAGGCTCAGGGTGCTGCTCCAGCTGTAGCGGCCGTCTCCCCCAGCACCTCCAGGCTGCTAGACACCCCTGAGGACATGCTGCTGCCCCCACCTTCCAGCCCAGCCTCCAGGTGGAGGGGAAGCCCCCGCTGGCCAGACACACCAGTGTGACGCTGCTCTGCTGCTGCTGCTCTTTGGAGGGGGGGAGGACGGTCAGGGTGGGCCGCAACACACCCACTGGAGGAGAGAGGGGGAGAAAACGCAGCAGTGAGAACCAAGGCTGCTGAAGACACCTTCACTCTTCATCATGACTCAGCACATCTTCATCACAGGAGAATAACGAATCGCTGAGATGATTTTCTGATGGTCAAACGAAACATTCAAGTGGAAACGGTTCAAACGTCGACATCTGTTTCTTTCACTTCCTTTAAACTACATGGAAAACAAATGAACCGTGAACACAGAGCTGCTCTGAGTTCACTCACTAAATATCAATTCAGTTTGACAGGAATTCAGGTTGAAAGTTTAAAATGAAGAAATAATCAAAATATGATTAATTAACAGGAACAAATGACCCAGAAAAGACAAAAAACAGCAAAAAGAAGCAAAATGTTAGTTTTGATGGTAGAAAAATTAAAGCTTACATTGTCCAAAGCGTTGATAAAACAACTTTGAACTGTAGATTTTATTGTTTGTCAAGATAATTTTACTGGTGTTTGTTTTAGATTTTTTACAGCTGTGGAGCAAAACAAACCTCTGAAGCTCAGTTATAAACTTTCACATTTACATTTTTAAATCAAATAAAATTTACAAACTTTACTAGAAATTGAATCATTAAAGTTAAAAAATTCAATTCTTTTAATTTTGCTACAAAGAAAAACTTTCTGGTACTTACAGTCAACGATGAGTTTGGTTCCTCCACCAAAAGTCCACCACAGTGATACAAACTCATTGAGAGGCCGTACAAAAACCTCCTGCTCTGTCACTAGACATCTAGCTGCTGAAATTATGCTTTTAAAGTCATGAAAATCCCAGTTTAAACTATATTTAATCTACAAATCATCCAACATTAATGGAACTTTAAATTGCTTCATAATTTAAGATAATATTTGTGGTTTTTCACCAGTGAGAAGCAAATGTTACTTTCTCTCCTTTCAATCATTCTAACATTGTTTAACAATTCACCTTATATTATGTGTAAACACTAGAAACATTTTTAATGTAATTTAATTCATAAAAGCCTTTGAATTGTCATTTTGCATAGATATATCATATATTTACCTGTAAATTTTAGTAAAAGAGTAAAATAATCCTTATATGTCCAAACGAAATTAAATTTTAATCCAAGAACTGAAAATCCTTCATGTTGTTTCTGTTTGATTTTCTTGTATTCCAATAAGATGATGAGTTTTTAATCCAGTCTCTACTAGTGTTGGTTCAGAGTCTCTGTTTGTCTGAGCAGAGAAATGATTTCCATAGACTGGAGGCTTTGCATGATCAGCTGATCCTCCAGTGAACTGAGAAGGTTTATAGTCCTGTGACTTCAACACTGCAGGACTCAGATCTGTCAGTCCAGCCAGCAGAAGCAACAAGCACCATGACCCTCATCACCATCCTCATCTGGACGCTGACCTGCTGCTGTTTTACAGGTTCATTCACTCAGCAACGTTTCTAACATGATGTGCTGCTGCCTTTTCTCTCCTTTCTTTCTGCTGATGAATGAAGGATTTGTTTTTGTCTGCAGGATGCAGAGCTCAGATCACTGTGACTCAACCTGCAGTGGAGACATTTACACCAGGATCCACTGCCACTATCAAATGTACAGCTAGTAAGAATGTGCCCACATTCACTGATGATGGAAGTTATGCTATGTCCTGGTATCAGCAGAAACCAGGAAAACCTCTAAAGAATCTTATATATAGGGCGAATAAGCTTCAATCAGGAACTCCAGCTCGGTTTAGTGGCAGTGGAAGTGGCTCTGTCTTCAATTTGAACATCAATGGAGTTCAGGCTGAAGATGCTGCAGTTTATTACTGTCAAATTCAACAAAATGTAAATGATACCCAAGTGTTCACACAGTGATTAGTAGTCAGTCAGTCAGAGCAGAGAGAGCAGAAACTCAACACACTCTGATACAGACCACTGAACACACTGATGAAACCTCACCATCTGTTTCTCAGTTTAGTATTTCTTCTATCTTTGGTCTTTCCACAGATTAAAACCTCAATGAATCACAATCAAGCAAAAACCTTCCATGCCATTTTTACTCCAATTTTTATTTTTGACAGAGACAAAGGTGACTGGAATTAAATAATTTATTTTCAGCTCAAGTCAGTTCAGGGCATACCTTATTATTTTTCTTTGTTTCAAATAAAATCTTCTTTAACACTAATTAGCCTCTTTGTAAGTCATTTGCTGCTGCCTGCAGTTCAGATTATGCTTCAGCATCAATAGAGAGATGCGGCTTCTCTGCACTTTGTTGAAAGATTTGTTGTTTTACCTCATTCATCATCCTGCTAACAGTGGCAGAGTAAATATGAACAGTCGTCCAGCCCTGATTTCTATCTTGGTGATTTTATAATTATTGCTCTGACTGTGTAAACGTGCATGTGGAGGTAAGCAGCTTCACTGAAACCAGACTCTTACAAACATACACATTTTCTTCCTTGTTGCTTCACATTAATTCAGACCAAATTTTCCAAAATTTGTTTAAATCATAAGGTAAACCTCCAGCTTGTGAGGATTTAATCTAGAACAAATATCTTTACTAAGGATTTTGGTTACACTGAATTGTCTGCCTGTGTCAGATTATGTTACTGCAATAAAATGTAAGTTTTTCTTAAGAGTTCTGTGTACAATCATTTACCACAGTTGCTGAAATGCGTAAAGAACCTATGTGCCATAGTGAAATTTGACAGATGCCATTTTTTTTTTTTTTGAAGTTGCCAAACAGAATCAAGAGTAAAATCATTTTTGCTGCAATCCTTAAGGTTTTTTTCTGCAGGGCAGGTAAACTAATTCACACTAGCAGCTGTCGAACTGATCACTTAAAAAGGTTTTAGATGACATCTTTTGAATAAACATCACATTTGGTCAGTGGAAGGGGGTAAATAAATGTATTCCAACAAAGTACTGGTGTACTTGAAGGATATCATTCTGGTTTGCACCATGTCATGTTCCACCAAAGCACAGATTAGTTTTTATTGGATTGTTCACAGGTGACGTGGGCGGCCATTGTTAGGCAGGACAGGCTGATGTTGGCATCCTGTCTTGGGTCAGAGACGTCAGCAGACGTCGGTTGACTGCAGCGTTAAGAAGTCATGCAAACAGGCCACAGAAATAGACCGACAACTGGGACAGCGGAGAGCAAAGACAGGCATTTGGACGGCAACTCTCAACCCTGCTTCATGATAACAGACATGTCGAAAAACACGCGTTTCTTCATTTTTTAAAGGTTAATTCCACATATTTGTAAACATTAATTATATATCGACGTGTATTATTAAAACAAAAGTAATTTCTGAAGCTTAAAAACATTAGTGAGTCACGCTAATTTGAGTGAAACTGGGTTTTTGGGTCTTCTTTGGATTTTATGAATGGGAAGGCTTGTGGGTGGGTACCAATAATCTGCAATGTTTTCTGAATGGGGGCACTAATTGGTGCTGCTGTCTTCCCTTTAACCTCTCCAGTAAGCCTCTGTGGCTGTGAAGCAGCCTCTATTAGAGGGAGACGGGGATAATCCTTTTAGGCGATGCTTTACCAGGAATCAATCTTGCCAACACTTCCTCTCTCAGACTGGATGAGCTCCTCAGTGTTTAGTGGGACCCACACCAGGTCAGGTTCACATTCTGTCCCCTGACTCTCTTCCCTGCTGGGACACACTCAGATACAGCGAGGCCCTCGGAGAGCGTCTGGACGTCAGTGGACTCTAGGGTGGGCGGAGGGGCCCGCGGCTGGGCTGAGGATCGACCCTGAAGCAGGGATGGAGACGTGGAAGAAGCTGTTTAAACGCGTGGTGTCTGTGAAAGTCAGGGAGTACGTGAAGGACTACTGCAAAAGGAACGGGCTGCTGACTCTGTCCGTGTTTGCCGTCATCACCGGCTGCGTCCTCGGATTTGTCCTGAGGACGTTCAACCTCTCCACGCAGGTACGAATGGGGGGAGAGAGAAGGGAAAATCAGGACCAATAGCCAAATAAGTATCAAATTTTAAATCAAAGTACAAGTTTAAAAAAAAAGAAAGTACTGTTAGATTGTGAAATGCGCGACAGAAGAGAACCAACGCCTGTGAAACGGTGCCGAGGAATTAGTGAAAGTCAGTTATGCAAGTGAGCGCAACAGGCAACAGGAAGGTCAGGTCAAAACACTCAGAGACTATTTAAACGGTTGAAATCACTATAAAACATCAAATTATATAAATATGCGCATGTCACTAACTCACAATCAGTCATCCAGAAGAATATTCTAATCTTAAGCTCTTCAAACAATTTTGGTTTAGTTTCATCACTATTATTATTATTATTATTATTGCAAACTATGGGTTTTAAGTTTTAAATTTTTTTTTATTTCTGCTTAATATCAGTTTTAAGGAGATGGTTTTATCTTCACCTTGATGCTGATTTTGTTGTTCTTTAATGTAATTTTTTATCTGCTATTAAATTATTTACCTGATATACAACTAGAAATTAATTTTACATGCACAAATTAAGCAGACATCCATTGCTTGGTTTGTGCAGCATTTCATATTCTGAACTGCTGGTCATGGTTAGGTGAGATATTCTTAGGAGCTTAATGCTTTTGGACAGGAACTGACTTATTGACGCACACCCAGAAATCCCTGAGGCTGAAGGAAGCTTACATGCCGAACAAATAATTACATAAGAATAAACGCGAAGCCAAATTGTCATTGCGAAATTGTTAGCTTCTTGGTAAACTGCCTAATATTGCAATATTGTGGTAAATGGGGGGTGTTAAATACTATAAACAAAGAATGCAACTCTAATAATTTAAAAACATTTATATTCCATTAATGTTCACAAGAAAACTGGCAGAGATCAAATATCTTAAAACGAAAGAGATACATGAGGATTAAAAGACAAAAAGATATGAGGAAAACAGAATGAATGATGCAGTGATAAAGAACTTCATCTGTTTTCCACATTGTTAAAACTAAACAAAATTAAATGTCACAGAAATTTATTGAGTGAATATTCACCTAGATCAATTTCTCAAGCTGGGATCCTACGTTGGCTTATAAATCAACAAATGAGTCTAAAAATCCTCTTCAGAAATTAAACTATGGTGTCAATGGGTTAGCTCGCTAGCTGAAGCGCTGGGGAGCCATCAGTGAATCAATCCAGTTTATTTACGTGGCACATTTGCGCTACAAGGCAGTTCAAAGTGTGTTGCGTCATATCATACAAACACGATTATCAGTGTCCATAATGTTCCCCAGTCCCTGTGTGTCCTGTATGGTAAAAAGTCTGCAATTGTCCAAGTCGTCTATTTTAATAACAGGTTTCACAATCACTCTGCAGGTCAGTTTTAGCTCCTCTGCGATTTCTAATGATCATATATTTTCTATAGAAGACAGCCAGTTTGGACGGAAAACATAAAAAAAAATAAAATAAATAAAAAAATCTCTGAAATGCAATTATTATTATAATAATAATTATATTTACCTAATTCTGTTTGATTCGTTTTGCAGGCAAAGATCTATTTCTCTTTCCCTGGAGAATTATTGATGAGGATGCTGAAGATGTTAATTCTGCCACTCATTACTTCCAGGTAAGAACCTTTTAAACCCGTTGGACCAAACCTACCTGATCATTTCGACATCAGAGGTGAAGCTGTCGAAGCTCAACCGTTAAATCAAATCAGTTGCGTTTCGGCTCATAATTGTTTCATTTGATTTAACGGTTGAGCTTCAAAAGGACAGCGTGAGACAAAATCTGCAACCAAGAAGGCTAAAAAAAAAAAAATGAAACTTTCAATTACCAACAAGCCAGTTCAGATAAACAGAAAGCAGTTAAAGCTGAAAGAACGTTGACAAGTTTGATCTCATTGCTTCTGATTTCCCATCCAGTCTGATGTCCGGCCTGTCGGCCATGGACACGAGGGCCAGCGGCCGCCTGGGTGTCCTGACGATAACCTACTACCTGTGGACGACCTTCATCGCCGTGATTGTGGGGATCGTTCTGGTGCTGATCATTCACCCGGGGACGGGGCAAGAGAAAGACGGTCACCATGGAAGCACGGGCCCCGTCATGACCTCCGCCGACGCTCTGCTCGACCTCATCAGGTCAGAGAGAGAGAGAAAAAAAAACGCTCAGAAATAAAACGACGTTGCTTTGTGAGCAGAATATGAGTGGTTAGCAAAGTTTTACAACTTTGTTCAAGTAGGAAATGAGGTCTCTGATCCTAATGCTTCGAAATGAGTCATTACTCAATTACTCAAGTGTTCAATCACATTAAATTAACAATATATTGAACTGGGATAATGTTCATGGGAAGATAGATGATAAAAAGAAAAAGAAACTGCAGAACCATCCAGGCTGGTGAGGAGTTCAAAACATTCAGCCTCAGCTGCAATGGAAGATTTTAAACTAGAGCATTTTTGCGTGTTAGAGTGACCTAGTCAAAGTCCATGCCTAAACACAATTGATCATTTGTGGCCAGACTTGAAAACTAGCTGCTCACATAAGATTCCTATCCAATCTGAAATCCAACCATGGATTTTTTTTTCTTTTACTTCCATTTCACAAATATGCATTTCCATAAATGCAGTAGATACAGTGATTCTTATGGCTATAATGCAAGAAAAAGTGAAATTGTTCATGTTAATAAACAGGATAAACTCCCTGCACACGGGTTAAGCTAGAAACCTGCAAGTTAAGCTAACTAGCAGTCAGTTTTTTGAGTTGTAATAGGAAGCTGGAGTACCCAGAGAGAAGCCATGCATGCGCAGGGAGAACTCTATTCAGAAAGACACCAGAATGCGATTCAAACTCATCTCCCATTACCGTTTACTGAACCGTAAGGTCAAAGGAAAGCAGAGAATGAGATTTACCCAAAAACATCTCAGACTGCCACCTTCAAAGACGGAGAGCAGCGTGGCGGCACATTCGAATTGAACTTAAATGAAAATCCAGTGAAATATCCTAGTTAAGTGATCATTTCAGCACAATGTCATTCAAGGAGCGAGACAAAATTCCTGTAGAACAACTGCAGCATCACTTCTATGCTGCAACTGGTCTAAAAATAGGGCAATTATTTGTGGTCTGCTAAGCCTGAACCTTCCCAGAAGCTCTTTGCGCCGCTTCACTGCGGGAGGCCAACGTCGCAGGGTTCTCCGGCTTACGGCACGGCTCTCCAGGCCCGGCTCGACTAATACCCTCGTCTTAAAACTAATTATACTGCAGAGATGTGCGGTTTGTACTTTTCAGACGTGTCCGATGACGTGGCTGCAGGGGCCTCTGACGCCCGCTGTATAAATAAATGCGGTCCCGGTGCAGGCTGCCGCCCCGACCTGTAAACCTCTTACTGCTGTTTGGCTTGATTTAAGTGGATCCTTTGTCCCGATGTCGTCAGGAAAAAAAAAACTAGGGGAGCAAAATAGTGATAACAATGAGATCTTTCATTTAATTTATTTATTTTTTCTACCAGTGGAAACAGGCATCCATACATGTGACTAAATTAATACAAGTATAAATACAAAGGGGGCATCAAGAGTTAGGATTGCAGTTAGCCACAAGGTTTGACCCAGAAAATGAGGAAAAAGATGCTAAATGAAACATTTTAAATGTAAAACTATGAATGGTGAAACACCTTGAACACATTGTCAGTTCATAGTTCATAACCTAACCAACCGTTTCTTCTTCCGGCAAGACAATAACCTGAACATACTGTTAATGTAAACGCATAGCATATTTATGTGCTAGATTGGTCTAGTCAAAGCCCCAAAGACTTGAACTAATTGAAGCCAAATATTAATCTGCAAGAACTCGAGTTCAAAGAGCAGGATGCTGCTTCTGCCAAGTCTGTCTTTTTTTTTTTTTTTACTTTCTTTTAATATTTATGGTTCATTGTAGTTTAATGTAGAAATGTGTTTTTTATATGAACAGAAAACACAATATGGCTTTTATAATTACAAAACCTGAAGAAAATAAATAAACAGCCGTTGGAGCCATTAGAATGCATTTCTAATATAAGATTCATAATCTTAATCTCAAACAGACACAAAAGAAAATGCGACAGACTCATATGTTTTGCCAGCAATTTTAATCTTATTTTGTGAGTGTACTGACAATTTTCACAGCGTTTTCACCTGTGGTTTTATGTTTGCTGTCTCCTCCAGGAACATGATCCCATCCAATCTAATCGAAGCCACATTTCAGCAGGTGAGAACAAAAAAAAAAAAAAAAACGTCAGACACCTTAGAAACCAATGTCAGCTGACGTCCACCAGTTTGAATCTTACATTTATTTTCGCTTCAGTACCGGACGGACCTGGTGCCAAGTGTGCAGAGCGCCAACGAGAAAGAGTCTCAGGCCAACTTCGTCTACGTCATGCCTGATTATCACAACCCGCGGCTCGGCCACCCTGTTTTCTTGGAGATCACTCCGGCGCCTGACATCAAGTATAAAATCGTTCCCAGTACGAGCAAAGGCATGAACGTGCTGGGGATCGTCATCTTCTCTGCAACCATGGGTGAGAAAACAGCCTCCAAACGAAAACCAAAATAAAGGGGGGGAAAAAGTGATCAGAAAAAATGATGGAACTGATGAATGTAATCTTACCTGAAACATATTGTTTTGTGGCATTTCTTTGTTTGATATTGTCTCTGTTACTTTCACCGTCCCACTATTTGCTAAATAGAAGAACAACAAAAGAGTTTTAGAGAGATTTTATTATTCGTCTAAATGCCTTTTAAGTGACTTCCACAAGCTTCGTTTCAGCCAGGAAGCTGCTGTCATCGTCTCTGTTCCTGATTTGACTGGAGACATTGTCCATTTGCACACAAGGTGTATTTTCCTGCTGTTGCTTCAGGACGTTCTGTCCTTGCGATGCAACTCATGAAATTTCCTGCTGCAGTAAATCATCTACGCATGATGCTGCCTCCCCTGTACTTCACCGCCGTGTTGCTTTTGGCGTAATGGCTTCTTCTCGGCTGAGTGAACTTTGATCCAGTGTCAGTGGAAGACTGATGATGATGTCTATTTCACCAGCTTCAGTCAGCATCTTTACAAAGTCTTTTGCTGGCCTTCTTGTCCATATGTGGGACACAGAGAGCATCTTCTTCATCAACAGTTTGACCTCTTTTGAACATTCTCGTTGTGTCTATAATGGGGCATAATTGAACAAATAAATGTGTTTTTTTTGTGTGGATCCACAATGCTCTTCTGGAGCTTTTTATTTTCCCAGGATTGTCACGCTGGGCTGCCGTGTGTTTGAGGCGCCGCCTTAAGATTCACATGCGAGGCCACATCAAAGTTAAATCGTGTGATTTAACCTTTAAGTAGCTTACTGAGCATGACATCATCATCTGGGATATCCCAAACTGTTTCAAAGTATCTCAGTCTTGACTTATACAAACTTCTGAATTTGAAGAGAGCAATAAAAAAAATTCTGCCTTTCAGCGTAACCCTCTTACCCCACCCAACAACCTCGAAATGTTTTTATACATCTGCTGCCTGCAACAAATGCGTCTTTGTCGTGTCTGATCTCAGGTCTGCTGCTGGGGAAGATGGGCGAACGTGGATTGCCGCTGGTCAACGTGTGCCAGTGCATAAACGAGTGCGTGATGAAGATCATCAACGCGGCCATGTGGTGAGTTTGTACTGTCGCTCACATGCGTTCTCTTAAAAAAAAAAGAAGAGCGATTACTGACAATCCAATGCATCTAAAAACATCCCACTGATCACATGGCAGAGCCAGATTTGGTAGAGAAATAAATCTTATCAAAGAAATGGCTGGAGGGTGAGCAGAGATGTCTGAGGAGTCCTCATGGCTTGGTAATCCTGTTAGAAATGCGACAATGGCGAAGATGGACTTACATGCATGTGGTTGGCATTGTGGCCGGCAGATCATCCCCCCCAACGCAGAACATCACATCCACCTGCTCACCACATCCATGTGTGATTACGAGCATCTAATTCCAAAGCCACGAGCATTAATCTGCTATTACAGCCTCTGCTCTTCTGAGACCTGGCAGCATTAGCGAGGTCAGCCACCTCTGCTGGGTGAAAAGGTTCGGTTCAGTCTGTGTCGCAGTTAATCCCACAAGCGTTCCATGAGGTTGAGGTCGGCCCGGTCAGATTGTTTCACAGCAAACTCAAGTTATCCGCCCCTTTAAGCATCTGCTTTTGGGGAAAAAAAACTTTTCTTGATGGTACTCTTTGCAGATGTTGTGGTATTTTAGCAGCAAAAGGCCAAATACTTTGGTGTGCTGGGATTAAAACGGTTCTGGTGGATTTACATATTTTGTTCATATTAAAATATTAATGAGTCCCAGGGACTCTTGTGTTCACTGACATTTTTGATATTTCCCTCAGAAAGGTCGTTATGTTAAACTAACACTGCATGCATTTAATTTTTCATTAATATTTTCAGCTTTATTTTTAAATTACATACAAATAGGGAAACTCCAACATGAATCCAAGGCAGAATACAATTTATTAAATGTCCAGCAGGGGGAGAGAAAACTTAGTTTTACCCCTAGTTAACTGTTACAAATTCAGTTTATGACAACAATGAAGAAATGAAAGTGTGGAAAAGCAGATGACTTTTCAAAATGGCTACTTTGTGACTGATATTAGGATTTTCAGGGACTCTAAAAAACGACAATTAAGTAGTTTTTTGGTCTTCAAACTTCTCTTCTGTGCCAGATATATTTAGATCTATAAAATCTTAAGATAACAAAAAGATGTACCGACAACAGGAGAACGCATCATCAGCATTTAATTGTTCTGCTTTCTTGTGTTGATGCAAGTCTATAGGTTGATGAATAAAGTGAAAACACGGTTTCCTCTCTTCTCTTTGCAGGTACTTCCCCTTTGGCATAGTGTTCCTGGTCGCAGGGAAGATCCTGGACATGCACGACCCGGCCCACCTGGGAGAGAAACTGGGCATGTACTTCATCACCGTCCTGGCCGGTCTGTTTGTCCACGGCCTCATCCTGCTGCCTCTCTTCTACTTCTTCTTCACCCGCAAAAACCCCTTTGTGTACATCCGAGGCCTGCTGCAAGCCCTCGTCATTGCTCTGGCCACTTCGTCCAGGTGCGAGAGTCGTTGTTGACTTATTCTTAAAGTGAAGAAGTTCGGTCGTGACAAAACCCATCTAATTTATGACTGGCCGTGTTTCTCTGCAGCTCAGCCACGCTGCCGATCACAATGAAGTGTCTCCTGGAGAACTGTGGGGTGGACCGGCAGATCGCCCGCTTCGTCCTGCCGGTGGGAGCCACCATCAACATGGACGGGACGGCCTTGTATGAGGCCGTGGCAGCTATATTTATCGCCCAGGTCAATGAGTATGACTTGGACTTTGGCCAGCTGGTGACCATTAGGTGAGGACGGACACCGAGGACGCTCTCCTGCCGGTTGTTCTGTGTTTAGAACCGCTTTACATCTCCTGTTTTGTGTTGTCCTCTATTCCAGTATCACGGCGACAGCAGCTAGCATTGGGGCAGCTGGGATACCTCAAGCAGGTTTGGTTACCATGGTGATAGTCCTGACCTCTGTGGGGTTACCGCCTGCTGACATCTCCCTGATCGTGGCTATCGACTGGGTTCTGTAAGTCTGACCTGAGATTTAAGAAAAAAAGAAAAACATCAGGTGGCGTCAGCTTGGGCAGTGAGTGAAGGTTTTTCTCGCTTGGCGTTGCAGCGATCGTTTTCGGACGATGATCAACGTTCTGGGTGACGCGTTAGCAGCTGGGATTATGGCGCACTTGTGCAAAAAGGACTTTGACAAAGCAGCAGCTACTGCAGCCAATTCTTCTGCCGGTTCTTCCGTCAGTAAGGAAAGGGTAAGATTTGTTTTCTTTGTGTAACATTATGACCAGCCTGAACTCCTCTGTAGATCTCAACTGAAAAAAAAAAAAAAAAAGTCAACGTCAGGCGATAATTATACTGTGGTCTTCTTCCCTCCAGAGAGACACCGTGATCTCGTTTGGCAATCAGAGCGTGGCCATGTCCGACGCACCTCTGATCTCCCACCGATGCGACTACGTGTTCGAGGTGGATGGGGACAACGTGCTGGAGAGGCCCGTGCCCTGCTATAATCTCTGCCAAGTCTGAGCCTCCCCTGTTTTATCGAGGGAACTGAAAAGGATTCAATGACATTTATTCACCTCAGGACGAAATACTTAAAAGCACAGGGAGCTTAGTTCTGGGAGGGAATACAGTACATCTTCAGAGTCAAGCAAATTGAGGTGTCAAGAAGGAGTGGCTTAACGTATATTTTGCCAGTGCCATGCTGAATTAAGAAAATCTCCTTTACTGTATACACTGGATGAGGGGAGCATATAATGTGTGACCTGAAGTTTGGGATACTGAGCAGAAAGGAAGTACGAATGAACCAAATGTGATGAGTGAATACTGATCAACCTGTGGTGACAAGCAGATACAAGCAGTCCTTATAGAGTTGACTCAAAAGTTTGATTGTAAGGTTTTAAGCTGCCTTAATATGAAGTCAATAAATGGGAAGACTTGAATGTTTATAGAAACCATTTAGAAAAAAAAAAAACAAACAGCAAGTTTAGACATTGTACATTAAAAAAAATCTATTAATGCATAAAATGCATTGATAGCAAAATCAATGCATAAAAGTTGATCTGAATGTTGAATGTACAGAATCATATCTGTTTTTATACGTGTACTTTAAGATTTGTGTCTGTTTTGTAATAAAATTCTGCAATACTCAAAGAGAAGATTTTGTTTTTCTACATTTAATTTTTCTACAGAGGACCTCTGCATTGTCCTCCAGGTAGTATCACCCTACCGGTGATGCACTGTAGTTTGCTATTGCGAAAATGCTAATTTCACGACATTTTACAGATCAGGTACAAAAACACACAATACTTGCTGTTATTAAACTTTCCTATTCAGGCTTTTCCCTTTTGATCGCTCTTATTTTACCAACCAATCAAGATTGGCTTAGATTTGAAAAATATTCTTGAATGTGCATTCTTAATAAACAGCTTCAGTAACGTGGGTAAACAGATTATGTGCTACAAACAGTTTTGATTGTGCTAAGTTTATGTTTGATGTTTAAACATGGCATTTTTTAACCTATGACAAAATACTAGATATTCAACAACCACTAAACAAAATTCACAGTAGGCTTCTGAAGACATTTAATTTTAGTAATTCTGTAATTTTTCCACATTTTAATGAAGTTAATCAAGGTTAGCAGACATTAATGAACTTGAACATAGTGTTAAACATGTTCATAACAAAAAGAACAAGTCAATAACCTATTAAAAATACTAGAATATGTGTCAAGTATAACGGCGTACACTCAAATAAATAAATGCCACTTCCTGTATTTTACACTATTTTATCATATAAATTAAGGCAGACTGCAGAATGTTTTGACTGCCTCTGAAACAAACCTTAACATTTCATACATATCAAACAAGACCGCTGAAAGAAAAGAACAAAAGCACTAACATGTCAGTAAAAAAAAAACAGAACCTGTAAAAAAAGTCCAAGACTATCACCTGCTTTAAGCAAGCTTTAAAATATTGCACAGAGGTAAGGACGGTGACATAAATATGAATATTAGGAAGAAAAATGTCATTTTTAAGACTATATATGAATTTTATAAATCAGATGACTTAAAATAGGGTGTAAACTTACGATCTGAATTCACAAAAGGTGGGATTTAAAATGTGGATTTGAATATAAACCAAACGTCTCTTGGGCCAGTTTCTGTTGAACTTGAATTAAAAATAAATTCATGCTGAACTTTAAACGGCAAGAGTGTTCCTAAACTATTTGACGTAAGCAGAAACATTTAAACAATTCAAGCCTCACTCGATAAAAGCAAAATCTGCTCAAAGTAGCTGTTTCACATATGAGATCATTCAAATATTTTCATGAAATAAAACTTGTCGCTTTATCTGACTACGATGAATCAGCCTAGAAAATATTCAATACGCATCACTAAAAAAAAAAAACACAACCAGATTCTTGGAGATGATTCTTACATCTAATATATTGATTCAATTTTCTAATCCTGCCTGACAGAGGTTTAATTATTTTATTGTTATTTTTTATATAACAGAAACTAACATTCCTCTTGAAATACGTTGTCTATGTAGTCTGAACATTTCCCCAAAATGATCTCCATTAGCTTTGGTCCACTTTATATTTAATATTTCAATGTGATTTTGTTATGTTGTTCAAAAATATCAGCAATGTTGGGACGTGTTTTGGAAGTCCCAGTGAAGAATCTCTGCTTCGGAAAGAAATAGAAAAAGAAAACAACAAAAAACAAACAAAACAAAAAAAAACTCAAAATAAATGTTCAAATAAATAAAAGAAACAAACCAAACGAAATGTTCAGCGAAACAAAAGAAAATTTAATGGTTTAATATTTAGAATGAAACAATCAAAAATCAAAGAAACAAACAAAAGCAAACCTAAATTCAAATTGTTAACAAAGGCCATTAATTTTTTCCTACAAATTTAAAAGATGAGCTCTCCTTTGCAAACGTCTGCAAGTTATACTGAAACAAAAACGTAGCTCTCTACAAAGAAAAATAACTAAAAGAAAATAACTGAAAAGAAAACAAACAAAAAGAAAACAGGAGAACTGAACAGGGGATTGATGTCAGTACCGCTTGGGAAAAAAAAATAAATCCAAAATATTAATTTACTAAATCGCATTAGAAAAATCTTGATTTGTTAGATCTCTCCCTGGCTTTGGTCCGTTTTTAGTCTTATTTATTTTATTTTTAATTGTTTTTTTTCTTTTTTTTTAAAACAAGACTCATGTAATACAACAGAGAATAAAATACACTTTTAGGGGTACCAAAGCAAAAGGGATTTTGCTTCTAATCTCCTCAGTTAAAATGTTGGTCAGAGGATGAACTAATGTTTCACGTTAGCATCAAAAAGGTTGATAACCAGAGCAACTTCAAACAACAACTGGTTAAAAGTGCTTTGCTCTTTTACGCCAAACAGATTGGTTTTCAATTTATAACAATTTAAGGTATCCGTTTCTACATGAACAGATCAGATTGTTTTTTTTTTTTTATATATCTATTTTAACCACTGAATTGTCTGCTTTGAACAACTCATAGGTTTCCTGTTTAAATCATCTTTGCCCAGTAATGAGCCCTCTGTCGTCCTCATGCTTTCCTAAACGAGAATCATGCAACACATATAACATACCAGTATTTTAGCTTCAGAGAACAATTTCAAAAGTCCGTTTGTGGGATTACGTCTTTACGCACTCAAAATAAACTGAAAGTGAGTGACAATAATAATAATACCCTCCAAAAAGAGTAGAATGATACTGGGAAAAAAAAAAAAAAAACAAACAAGAAAAAAAATAGACACTGTTTTTAGAGAAGTACAAAGGTGCAGAAGACTGAAATTCTCAGTTTACTCTGAATATGATGAAACCAAAAATGTGCCAGCCTTTGGCATTTAAATTCACCTTTCTACAAAGAGAGAGAGAGAGAGAAAAAAAGAGCCTGACACAGCACATTTACTGCACCCCTCTACACCCATTGTCCAAATCACTCTACTTGTGGCCCTTGCTAGTCTTAAAGGACACTTGCAGTATCTTATCACCGAGCCGGTACCCGTTCAGGCTAGTGATGGCCATGGCCGCCTCCTCGTAGTTTGTCATGGTAACGAAGCCAAAGCCCTTGCACTTGTTGGTGTTGAAGTCACGGATCACCTTGACATTTGTGACTGCGCCGAAAGGGCCGAACATCTGCCACAGGATGCTCTCGTCCGCGTCCTGGCCCAGGTTGTAGATGAAGATGCACCAGCCGGAGGAGTTCCCGGGAACGTTCACGCCTCCCATGCCCCCCATATGGTCAACGCCCATCGGAGAAAACCTGGAAACAGCAAGGATTTGCATATACTTAGAAATATACTAGAACGAGTAACACTTTGTAACGTTAAAACAATTAGTTAAGTTAATTGGATTTTGTTTATTGGACCAACGGAAAGAAATAGGAAACTTTTCTGATAAGACCAAAACTGAGATTTTTGCCAACTTATATAAACAATATGTGCTTAAAAGAATTGCACATCAACTCTGAATGGTGCTTGCCCACCCATAACACATGGTAGTGGCATCATTATGATGTGGGGTCAGAGTGGAAGGCAAAATAAAGCTACAAAACTGTAAAACAAAGTTAAGATTATAACTTAAAACATTCTGTCTTAAGAAACTCCAGACACTAAAATTGAATCTACAGCTGCAGTCAAATGATCTCCACGTAAAAATGCATGCCACACTTTTCAGATCTTAAACAGCAAACAAAATGTGTGTTTTCATACGATCACATAGTCACAATAAAACACTAAAATGTTATGTTGTAATGTAATAACATATGACAACAGAGCTTTATTCCAGCACTAGTTTATCAGTACTTTATTCAAATATCGCCAACATTTCTCACCTAAACCGCTGTGCCTGGTGGTGGAGGGGCCCCCCGAAGCGTCGCGACTGATTGTGGTAGAGCTGAGAGATGAGCTGTGTGTTCTTCACCTGGTTCGGGTTGGCCGCAAACTTCACCGTGATTGGCTCGGCGGCGCCGGGCGGTTTCTGGCCGTTCAGGCTCTTGACGGCTTCTTCGGCCTCGGCTCGCTTATCGAACCGGATAAAAGCCACGCCGCGGGACACACCTGGGAACAGCGGAGCAAATTGTTACAGCATCAGAAGCACACTTCAGCGTGAGAAGGCCTGCGCTCTGGTGGCTTGGGCTCATAGAAAAGAATAAACGTTTATAAATTTTGAGAAGCAAGGAAGTCATTCACCTGTCGTACCTGAAGACTGATCTACAAGTACTCTGGAATTTATGATACGCCCGAAGCGGGAAAACATTTCTTCCACATCCTTCTGAGTCATGGCCTTGGGCAGACCGCTGATATACAAGTTTGCATCCTTTATTGTGTCAGAGCTGGGCCGTGCATATGAAACCTGGTAGGAGGAATAAATACTAAATCAGCCTAAATTTTGGGAAGATATGGACGAAATTAAAAGAAATTAACCAAAAGAGGCAACAATTGACCAAAACACTTTGGCGATTATCTAAAGTTTTTTAAAATATTAACTTCACTAGAGATACGTTTAAAAAAAAACATCTTATATCCGAATAAAGAAATTAAAGTAATTTGATAAAAATAAGTTTTTTCCGCCTCTGATTTCCCATATTTTCGCTCAGACCAAAAATTACAGCACCATATCAAAGAAATCCAACTTTTACATAACTACAAAAAAAATAAATATATTAAAAGGTTAAAAAATATATATACATAAAAGGCCAGTCAAAATCAGACATGTCAGAAAGGGAAGTGAGTGAGTTGTGACGTCACAATCCCTTCGTCAGGCTGACATGTACTAGCTAGTTAGCGGACAGCACAGGAACCACAGGAGAGTGAAAAGAAAATAACATCCTTGCTTTGAGAATTGTAGAACACCTTATTGCACGTTACCTTGATAGTTTTGGACTGTAGCCTTAGTCCATTCAGAGTACTGATAGCTCTTTCTGCATCACTAGGGTTAAGATAGTTAACAAATCCGTACCCTAAACTGTGGCCTAGAGAAAAAAAAAGGAAAACAATAAAATAAAACAAAAAAAAACGTTGTATAGTTCAAAATAATCTGCAAACAAATCTTAAAAACCAAAACAAATCTTAAACATTGCATGGTGTGCGAAATAAACAGACCGTCAAAAGAGAATTGGATTCCTTCCAATAGCAAACT